TTTTTTTGGCTCTTCCAACTTCCCAGATTATCTATTTACGCTGCTTAGTCTGCAGGAAATAGACAAAAAAACCAGCGTGCAATTGAGAAACATTTCATATTTCGTCTCGGATGTGGCCAAGCAAAAAAGCAGTCATGCCAGCTTCGCGTGCTATTCTACGCAAAACGGAACTTCTGCGGACGCAGCCTGTACCAACCCAAGCTGTTCGTATTCGTGTTCACCCCGACCGGGCCAAGGTTCCGGTGATGGAGCCGCTGCATCGACGCTTTCCCCTATCGGTGCGAAAATCGGGTCTCGGCTTACTTGCCGGGGGAACCAACAATCCAGCACCGCACGCCTTGCCAGTAGCTGCTTGTGGATGAAACATGAGGGAAATATACGGGATATTTCCAGGCGCGATGGTGTGAGTCTGTAGGACCAGATCTGTGGGACCGCGCGGATAGATGGTGACGGTCGTCTCGCGGCCGGTGATGATCCCTTTTCGGCGGTGCTAACAAATGAAGCAAAGCTCATCGGTTCGGGGCCTCTGCAACCTTGCAGGGGACTAGACGTATTCGTGTTCGGATGTGTCGATAAGCAGAGGGCTTATCACGTATTCGCTTTGATGCTCTGCGAACATGGGGACAGGAAGGCGATACGCCTGGCTGTAAGTCAGAGGAAGACGGTCTCGAAACTGCTATAAGAAGGGTGGTTCGTGTAGGGGGATTGAGGGAAATCAGTCCGACAACTCCGAGCTTGACTCACTTCTCTCTTGTGCTTTCCATCGCGAGCGATCAATTCAGTGCCACAAGCTCCTTCCAGATCTCCATTGCATTCGAAGACTGTCAACCCTGCCCGCTACGATGGTCGGAACTACCCTCGCAGAGGGGCAAATGCTCTTGGCCCGAGACGCCACGTTCGAGAAGATCCTTCACAAGGACACGACGAAGACCGTTGGCATGTCGGCGATGCTCAAAAAGGACCACGAGGCACAGAAGGCAGCCACGGACGCATACTTTATGCATTGGGACAACAAGAGCGCACAGAAGGAAACAAAAGAAGACCGAGAGGTAAGCGGAAACTTCTGTGGAATGCGGTGACGTTACCCTGTTTGCTCATCACCTCATCGCTACAGGCTCGGACAGCAGACTATGCCTCCCTCACCAGACAGTAAGCATCCGGTATGCTGCGTAAGACGGGGGGTGTCCAAACTAAGCGTACGGGGGGGGGACAGATACTACAACCTCGCGACCGACTTTTACGAATATGGCTTCGGCCAAAGCTTCCACTTCTGTCGTTCAGCAGCCGGCGAGTCTTTCAAGCAGGGCATCGCGAGGCACGAACACTACCTTGCCCACGTGATCGATATCAAGAAGGACATGAAGGTGCTGGACGTCGGGTGCGGCGTTGGCGGGCCGGCTCGCGAGATCGCCAAGTTCACGGGTGCCTATGTTACTGGCATCAACATCAACGAGTACCAGGTGGAGCGGGCGACGCGATATGCCGTCAAAGAGAAGATGGACAAGCAAGTCCACTTCGTGCAGGCCGATTTCATGGTATCACGTTCTGTCTCATGCCGCATGGTCCATGTCGACGGGGGGCGCCTCGCTGACGGTAGACACGCACCAGAACATACCCTTCGAGGACGACACCTTCGACGCCGTCTACGGCATAGAGGCCACCGTCCACGCCCCCTCCCTCGAGGCCGTCTACTCGGAGATCTTCCGCGTCCTCAAGCCCGGCGGCGTCTTCGGCGTCTACGAATGGGTCATGACGGACAAGTACGACGACGCCGACCTCGGCATGCGCAAGATCCGCATCGACATCGAGCAGGGGGACGGCATAGCCAACATGGTCAAGGCCGCCGAGGCGCTGCGCGCGTTCGGCGCCGCCGGCTTCGACGGGGTCCGCCACGAGGACATGGCCGAGCGCCCGGACCCGAGCCCGTGGTACTGGCCCCTCGACGCCGGCAGCTGGAGGCACGCGCAGACGGCCGGCGACCTGCTGTACACGTTCCGCATGACGGGCCTCGGGCGCGTGGTCACGCGCGGGTTTCTCGGGGCCATGGAGGCGTTGAGGCTCGCGCCGCCGGGCGTGACCAAGATGTCGGACAGCCTGTGTGTTGCCGCCGACGCGTTGGTCCTGGGCGGTAAGGAGAAGATCTTTACGCCAATGTACCTCATGGTTGGACGGAAGCCAGTGAAGCAGGAATAAGAACAGTCATCGAGACGCTGCACAATCATCCAATCTATTCAGCATGCATGTAATGGTTTATCCACATACATGGAAAGTAGAGGACTGACGCTGTCGCGGTGTCATCTTGAGTCCAAGGGCAAAAGAAATTATACAACAACAGCAACAACTAACAACAAATCTCTGACCAATGCAAGGAGACAAAAAGGATGGACGATCAGGGAATCGAACCCTGGACCTACCGCATGCTAAGCGGTCATTATACCACTAAACCAATCGCCCATGTTGATGATCTAGCCCGGACTTGAACCGGAGACCTTCAGTGGAACCAGACGAGAGACGATGCTCTGGAGCTGTTAGACTGACGTGATAACCAACTACACCACCAGACCATTTGAATTGTTGAAGTGGGGTGTGCGAGACACGCAATATCTATCAGCAATTTGATGAATGGTGGGGGAGAACGACGAGTCGTGAAGCGAAGGGGGCGGAGCCCTGGCGGCGGTCTGGACCGGTCAGTGGGCCGGACGGACCGGATCAATACCGAGCGGCACGCACGGGTTTGACCGATTGGGCCAAGTCAAGATAGTTAGGTAATTAGCCACAACTCAAACTGTGTTAATGTTAATGCGGTCTCGAGGACTTGGATGGAACCGTCTTATCGGACAAACATCTGTCATGTCTTCCAGCGTCCGGGACCTTCTCCGTGAAGAGGTGTGAGTCTCATCTGTTGGAAGTGGAACTGACGAGACAAAAGAAATGCGTGCTTAGAACCCTCAAATCATGGATCGGGAATCTCGGGCCGCCGGGATCGACACTGGGTCTGCGACGCATGTTCAAGTGAATGCCCGGGATATGTGACAACCCCCGTCAGCTCATCTGCAGTAGTCCAGCCACCATTGACCGTCCTAGACTCACGTTCTCGGCCAAGCGTGCTCTCAACGCCGCGTCGCCCCAACTTCGATGCCGGTGGGGATGGGATTGCTCGTCCACATCTTTGGGAAACCCCCTCTCGCAAGCACCGAGAACCGGGGCCGCGCACGCGGACCGCCCTCGGTCGCCGGTGCTCCAATGTCTGCGCCAAGAGCCTACCAGCGAAGGGACGCGCCGCGTTCAGTGGTGGAAACTCGACGGTCCGGATCGCAGCAGGCCACGGAGTACCATCACGGGCAGCGGAACGTAGGTTACTTTGGGGTCGGGTGTGGTGGACGCGGCCAAAGGGACCGCAGCCTGCTGACGGGGGGAACACCGCCTGAGCCCAGGGTTCCGAACACGGCAAACCGGGTGGCTGTCATTGGCGACGGTCTCTGCAGAGCAGGCAGGGTTCTCCGCATGAGGCCCGTTGAAAGTCGATCGTGACGCGGAAACTCACATGGCTGAAGGCCGTACCACCTTGGAGGTCGCGGGTCGGTTCGGGCGTGGCCCAAATTGCAAGGGTTCTCGGGTGTCCATCTATCGCATTGCTGGCATTTGAATCGTATAAGTAGTTCCGGCCCGCGTTCAAAAGCGAATGGCCTCGTCTCGTCGACCGCCCGATTTCCGTCTTCTTCGCCCCCCCCCCCCTTCCACCCCCGGGTCGTTCCTAGGTATTCTTCATCATGAGAATCAGCGCCCCCGCTCTGCTCTGCGCCCTTGCGAGCCTGGCCAGGGCCAACCCTCTCGACTGGCTCGGAATCGCCTCCTGGGACGTGGAGGGGTTTGCCAATGACAATCCAATCGGCAAGACCACAGGCGGCCGGGGTGGTCCGACCATGACCGTCGAGAGCGTCCCCGAGCTCCAGTCCGCCGTCGTCGGCAGCGATCCAAAGACCGTCGTCCTCAAGGGCGAGTTCGCTCTGCCGGCACTGCTCAGCATCGGCTCCAACAAGAGCCTCGTCGGCCACAAAGACCAGGCGCGCATCACCGGCAAGGGCCTCAACGTCTATAATGCGACCAACGTCATCCTGCAGAACCTCAGGGTCAGCCATGTCCTTGGCAATGACTGCATCACCATCCGCAACTCTACCAGGGTCTGGGTCGACCATAACGAGTTCGCGTCGGACATCTCGCAGGGCCCGGACCTCTACGTATGCGCTCCTCCGGCAAAGCCAGTTTCGGGGGGGGGAGGCCAACAACTGACTCTGAGAAGGACGGCCAGGTCGACATCATCCGGGCCTCGGACTGGGTCACCGTCTCCTGGAACTACTTCCACGACCACTGGAAGTCCTCCCTCGTCGGCAACGACGCCGCGTTCCGCGACCTCGACTTCGGCCGCCTCCACGTCAGCTACCACCACAACCACTGGAGGAACATGGGCACGCGCGGCCCCGCCGGCCGCTTCGGCACGCAGCACGTCTACAGCAACCTGTACGAGGACTTCCTCCACCAGGCCATCCACTCCCGCTCCGACAACCAGGTCCTCGTCGAGGGCAACGTGTTCCGCGGCGAGACGCGCGAGGCTCTCAGCACGTACGGGCTCGTCATCCCGGACGACTCGCCCAACACCTGCGTCTGCGGTGACGAGGAACCCGACGGGTTCGCCAACCTCGGTTCCCGTAAGTCGGGTCCCGCTCCGCCTGTCCACACGAAGCCGCAAAGCTATTAACAAAATCAATAGCCAATGACTGGGGCGATGCCGGTGTCAACATCACCCAAGAGGGTACATTCTTCAAGGCACCTTACGATTTCAAGCTTACGCCTCTGCCCCTTCTCGCCCCAATCGTCAAGCTTGGTGCTGGAGTTGGCCGTATTTAGATCGCCGTTATCGAATATGTACATGGACGAATTTACTTGTTTCCAAAAAAAAAAAAAAAAAAAAAAAAAACTGTGCCACGCAGGGCAAAGACCATGCAATAAACTCCTTCTTTTTGTTTTTCTCCCCCAGTTCATTGACTCTCACATCCGGGATATTGGTTTTCTCATCGCATCTAAACCCTTGAAACCGTAGTCACAATGCGTCTGAGCGCTTTAGCCTGTCTTCGGGGAGTACCTTTGCATTGCCCCTAGGCTGTGCACTGCTTGCGTACGCGCTTTTCGTAAGACCCGTGAAGCTACATACAGTATACACGTGTGTCTGACATCGTCTGAAAAGCTCTGCATGGCTACTATTGCTCAGATGTATGTATAAAAAAACCCGTCAATGATTATCCATCAGACGAATCGCACCGAAAGGCTGCCTAGAGCCCAGTTCAAGGGATGCAACAATTCCGGCCATCATCGGACGTAAACTCTCTTTGCGACCAGCACGGAACCAGTTGCATGGCCAGTGCAACTCTGTAAAACGATGAAAAAGAATTCTACAATTGGCAAATGCCGATATGCAATGAGAACCAGTCAAGTTGGCGTTGTAACCTAGCAGCAGTCCACAGAGTCCAGCCCGGTTTCACGCCTCGCAGGGCGAAACGAACCCCCGCGTGCGTGACTTCAAAAACGCAACTTCTCCACATTGTTCAGCAAAAAGTTGAAACTATCCTGGCGGAAGTCGTCGTCTATGAGATCGGCGCTGTCGGCCCCCATATGCAGCAGCTTGTTGCCGTCCCTCCACTTTGGCCACTTGATCAGGTCGGCCTTGGGGGTGCATTTCCCGCTGCCGCCGGAGCAGTCGTTCGGGTCGAGGTTGTAGGCGAAGTTGAAGTAGTACGCCCGCGTCGCGGCCGCGGCGTAGTTGGGCTTGATGCCGAAGAAGACCTGGAGGAGGTCGGCCCCGTGGAAGGTGCCGAGGACGGGGGTGCCGTAGTCGTAGCTGGCCAGGTAGCTCCAGGTGTCGACCTCTGGCTGGACGGCCTGGGAGATGTTGAAGACGGCCCTGCGAGTGAGGGTGAAGACGGCGTCGCCGAGGATGGCGGCGAGCTGTTTGAACTGGGGGCGGATTTCGTTGAAGATGGAGGTCCCGAAAGGGGATCCCGCCGAGGGCAGCGGGCTGTATGTTGCCACCAGATTCTTAACTTGCTCGGGTGAGGCGTTGTTGAAGTAAAGGGTCGAGAGATAGGTCTCGATGTCGTCCGTGCTGGTGATGTTGGGCTGGAAGAGGGCGAACAGCGTGCCCTCGTCTTCCTGATCTCCCAGAATGAAGGGTACCTTGGGCAGCTTGCCCGAAGTCGCGAACACTTCGGCGCTTGAAGGAACGTTCTTACCGTCTGGTCGTGGTAGGTATGACAGGGCGACTGAAGAATAGCTTAGCAAAGCTGGCACGGAGTTTGCCGCTTTTCTCATGTCCTGCAAGTATCGGGGTCAGCAGCGTGCACAAGACAAGCACGTTGGGTAATACTGCGTCTTACATCATACGAAAGGCCTCGGAGACACTTCAACCGATCCGTCGCCCCGGAGCATCCTGCAGCAGACAGCACCTGCTCATAGACTTTGGTGGCTTTGGGACAGTCCATAGGATCGGTAGGTACCGCCGATCCCGAGTTCATGATGGCGCCGCGGAAGAGTGGCTTTCCGTTCCATGTGATGTTGCCGTTGAACAGAGTGAGCTGGCTGAAGATCGAGATGGCCCCGGCAGATTCTCCCCAAAGTGTAACTTTGCCAGGGTCGCCGCTGGAGATTTCTAGGTGTTAGTGCTGTGAAACACGCCGAGGTAGATGACGAGGACAGTGGCGGGTGCTTGGTCTCATCCAGTCCAGCCGGCCCACTTGGTCCGGCTTCTTCTCGTCAACATCAAGACAGGTATCATTGGCCTCGAAAGGTCCGGTATGACTCACCCAAAGCTGGCAATGTTGTCCTGGACCCATTCCAACCCCATTCTCTGGTCTAGAAGTCCCGCGTTGGAGCTTCCTTCATCCATCAGGTCCTTGCCCGGCATGAACCCGAAGCCTCCGACACGATAGTTGACAGCCACGAATATGAAAGGCTTGCCTATTTCCATGCCTTCTGCGACGAGGCCAACGCCGTTATACATTGACGTGCTTCCCAACTCGAACCCGCCGCCAAATATCCAGTACATCACCGGGAGCCTGTCCCCTTCTTTCGTCCCGGCCGGCCGCTGTACGTTTATCGTCAAGCAGTCCTCTTGTCCGACAGCCAGGTTCTGGATTATGGGGAGGTTGAGTACTGTGTCAAGGAGGTCTGGGGGAATCAGAGGCGAGCCGAAATCAGGAGGTATGGCGAATTGCGGGCATGACTCCGGTTGATCGTTGGTGGCGTCAAAGTCCCCGAGGGGTTCCATAAGGCGTACCGGAGGCTTAAATCTCAAATCTCCAATGGGAGGCTTTGCATATGGAATCCCCATAAATGATTCGACCTCGCCGGCATGAAGCCCGAGGAAGCCTTTAGTGGTGCCCTTCAGGTTGGCCGGGGGCGACTTGATGGTTACCCGAGGAGTTCCGCCGTCTCTCCTCCATGGCGCACCGCATGCCAGTGTAAATAAAGAGACTAAAGTAAGTGTCGAGGAAAGCATCATCGGAGAGGACAT